TGAACAAGTTATTTTTGAGTTTTAGTTACAGGCAGTAAAAACTGTAAAATTTTGCAGTTTCAATTTTTTTTGATGTTGGAATGAATCATGGTTTAAAATTACAAAATTTTACAGTTTCATAACATTATTTAGAAATGTAAAATTTTGCAGTTTCATAACATGTTTTTCAGTTTGATTAATAAGAATAAATGCTTAATAGATTTTTTCTTTGAAACTGTAACATTTTACAGATTCAAAGTTTGTTTTTCAGTTTGATTAATATTGGAGATTATTTGCTTAAACCCTACAAAAATTGAAAAATAACATATGTTTTTTTCCCCATTGTTGTTGTTTTTTGTCGTTACATTTTTTTTCTTTTAGTTTATCAATATTTAGCACATTTTGTTATGTTTTTTAGCTCTAATTTCTTCATTTATTCTTTTTTTTCGGTAATATTTTGAAAATTCCGGTGAGTTTTCAATGATGTTCTTAATGTCCAGCAAACGTTATGGACATTTCGGCGACTTCCATTGACGTTCACAACACTCTGGTGATACTCTGACGATTTTCCAGTAATGTTGAACATTTCAGCGAGTCTTCAACGGAAATTCGACCGTGACGAAAATCCGACGATAGTGAGATGTAACGACATCTGTAAACTAAAAAAAAAAAAAAAAAGATTTTTTGGTAACAATTAAAAATATATAGGACTAATTGGTACAAATGTTTTGTTCTAAGATTAGATGGGTTTTAAACTTTATATATTAGACTTATTGGTAAGTTTCCCTTTTATATTCTAATATAATGTGGAATAATTTATTTATTTATCAATTTAAGTTTTAACCATTACATATTTGGACGTTTGTCACTAAATCAGAAAGCTGAAATAATAATAATAATAATAATAATAATAATAATAATATACTTTTGTATTTACAATTGAATAATATTATATGCATCAATTAGTGTACTAATTAGTATATTAATTGATGATATGACATAATTTAAGATATTTTGGTATTTATAATTTGTATAATGAGTGGGATTAATAATAATATCATAATTAGTGTTGGTACACTAATTAATACATTAATTGATGCATGTAGTACCACTGTTTACAATTAGTAAGAGGAGAACAAAGAAAGATAAGTCTGACTAAATAAGACTCAAAAATTAATTTTTTATGAATGAAAAAAAAAAAATAAATGTTGAAGATGAAAGTTTAATTATATTTTTATGTTAAAAAATAACATTCAAATTAATAAAAAAAATTTAAAATATTATTAATATAATTATGTTAACATTTTATTAATTTGTAGTATAATGTTTTCAACTTTATTTACATTGGAGATAAAATGTTATACTAAAATTTACAAAAATATTTCAGACTTCTAAATGAGTAGTTAGAGGGAGTTTTAAATGTGGGTTTTATCTTATGATTTGATATTTTGACTTATGATTTTGTTTTTTATTTTTTGAATGTATCGTCACATTATTAGAATTGACATTAAAACTCCAACATTATTGTAAAATTTAATGGACACATAGTGAGGAGTTGGCCTTGTTTGGTTTGTATTTGAGAAATATGTTTTGAGATAAAAAGTACGAAAATTTGTTTGGTTTGGTTTTTTTTCAAAAGATGTTTTGAAAAATTATTTTGAGAGAGTTTTGGAAAAAGTGATTGATTTGATGTGTATGAGAGAGAGATTTGTTTGGAAAATTTGTAAACCAAACAAGTTTTGGAAAAAAAATTTGGAAAAATTTGTTTGGTTTGATTACTTTTGAAAACATATTTGTAGAGAATTTTTCTCAAAATTTTTTGAGAAACACAAACCAAACAAGGCCTATTTTAATAGCTATAACTCTAAAATTAGCCCATATATCAGAGTAAAATTCAAATAACATCCTAAAATTTATGACTCAACTTCATTTTCAATGTTTGAGTCTTTGACTAGCCCATATAGCTAAAACATGATATGTAAGTGTAGATGCAACTGCTAAAACATGGTATAAATGTAGATGCTACATACCGTATTTACATCAGGATAGGCAGTCACAATTTGCTTCTCAGCAGGCAGTGATTTGTTCTGCTTCAATTCCATGTCTCCTGAAATCCACGAAAAAAGATGAGCAAAAGCAAACAAAAGAATACAATCTTGACTTGAGAAACACGGACACTTCTAGTAAGGTAGTGTGTTGTGTCCGACACCAACACTCATGGGACACGTCTCGACCCTTGTCAAACACACCTCAAAACATGCCCCATTATTTTTTAAAAATTTTCTAGACTCAGACAAGCTGTAGACACTTGGAGAACATGTGCACATTGCTTAGGCACGCCCCTAGGCCCAAGGTTTGCGCCTTGTAGTGTTCCAGGCTAGGCGACTTCGATAAGGCGCACCCAGGCGTGCGCTTAGGCCCAAGTCCCATCCAAGCCCAAGGTTTGTGCCTTGTAGTGTTCCAGACTAGACGACTGTAATAAGGTGCCTGATTGGCCCAAGGCTTGCATCTTGAAGGCTTTTTTTAATGTTGCTTTAATTGGTTTTGTTTAAAATCTAGCCATTGATTTAATATGGTGCAACTATAGAAGATCCCTACTCTTATTACAGATGCCAATACATCGGGCATTCAACCCCAAATCAATGATAGAAAAAAAATTAGCCCAAATTCCTAATCTCTAAAAAACACTAAATGTTTAACATTTCATTTTGTTTATATTGAATCCTAAATTATTTACTAATATTAAATTATTTTTTTTTCCGTACAAGGTGCGCCTCACTTCGGTGAAGCTTGCGCCTTGCCTTGCACCTTGAACCTAGGCCTCAGGAGACATTGGCGCCTTGGTGTGCCTATTGCCTTTAATAACACTACTCATGACTCATGTTTTTTAGTTGTGACTAAAAAATTTTAGTTATGACATTTGTGATAATTAAGACCACAAATGTCATAACTTATATATGGTACACATAAAATGGTGTGTATTATAGAATAACCTATTATTGTGACAAAAGTGATGATGAAACAAATTAGAAAATTAATTACACAATAAAATAAGTTATTTGCTATTTTTTAATCTATATTTGACATCAATTCAGTTATCCTAAAAAAAAAAGAAAAAAATTGATGAGTCTCACTATCTAAATTAATAAAAATCAAATCGGTATACTACATATATTTATTAGAGTAGTATTAAATTATATTTCCAAAAACTCACATAGTTTGATTATATATATAAATTATTGCATTAACTACATACAAGTTCTTGTATTTCTCATTTGGTTTCAATAATTCGTACTAACTTGTTTACCCAAAAAACAATTAATTGATTCTTTTCATTCTTAATTTACAGATAATCACTTCAAATGTTATGAAAATCAAATTAAAATCCCCTATGTGCTAATTTAACAATTAATCACTAAGTTTCGCCACACGCGCACACAAAAAAAAAAAAAAAAAAAACTGTCAAAGAAAGAAAAAAGAAAAAGTTGAGTTACATGTATTCCTCGATGAAAAGAAAAAAGAAAAAAAAGTTGGGATAGGGCTGTTTTTTGGCTTCATTTTGGGCTTTTGTGTCGCGCGCTCTCTCTCTCTCTCTCTCTCTCTCTCTCACACACGCCACCACGCAACACCAGAAACCATTCGAACTATCGAATTGATTTTGATTTGATTTGGAAAATAAAAAATTTAAAATTCTTAAACAATTTACAGAATATATAAACAAAACATATATGGAAAACGAAAAAACAAAAATTTCAATCAATGAAAATATAAAAATTAATGATTCTTAAATTACTTACCATCAAAGAGAAACAATAGTCTTGCACTGTCTTCTTTTTTTTTTTAATTTGCAAAAAATAATAGTCTTAAATATGTTAGAGATGAATATGCGTTTGAAAAAGATGTATTTATTTATTTATTTATTTTTATTATCTAATTACAGGTGGCAAAAGCTTCTAGAGACCAAGTTGGGCTTCATGACACCAAAATTGGTGTTGGCTTTTAATAATAGAATAGATAGTGGGTGGCACACACGATGTGTGTGCAATTTAAATAAATAGGAATAAAAGAAAATAATAATGAAATTAATATTATAATGTGTACTTAAATAAATAGGAATAAAAGAAAATAATAATGAAATTAATATTATAATGTGTACTTAGCTTAAGTGGTATGAATCCTCATACTTAAACCCATGGTCATGGGTTCAAGCCTTACCCATCTCTTTGTTTAACTTTTTTTTTAAAAAATAAAAAACACTGCCACATGGCATGAGGAGAGTAAAGCTTCAGGACACCATAAGAGGTGTTCACTTTATAATAGTACTAGCGGCCGGGCACACGCGATGCGTGTGCAAATTTTTTTAAAAAAAATTATGCGATTAAGTCAATAAAAATTAAATTAAGGAACACTACTTTTAAAAATATTTATTCAATTGCATATTTTTTTTTCTAAATTTGATATGATATATATACTTCTATATTATCTCAAATAAAATAAAAATATACTCACCAAGATAAAGCCCCTTCTCTTTCATCATCTAAATCCTCAACATAATAGGACTCATCGTCTTCTACAACTGTGGACCTATGATCCTCCTGCAAACAAAAAAGTTTGTAAGTGACTGCAAACCCGTTATTCATCTCTGTGTCTCAGACGGGGTCCCCCCGTGGGAATGCCTTGCTGTGCTGAGTGATGTAAGATCGATGCCCTCGCACAGGCAGTGGGTCTTTAGGAGAGGTGAAGGATGAAGTACCGTGTCCCATGGAGATCTCTGTGGAAGATTGGTCTGTATCGTTGTTTCGTATTGTAACTGCAATAAGGAGACGTGGAAAGTGGGAAGTGGGAAAGTGAAATTGATTGTTTTATTTTATCATTTTACCCCTAATTAAAACTGTTGAAAGTGTAAAAGGTTAAGGTCATTTTAGAGAAAATTGAGAAAAATTTCTAAGGAATGACTTTATGACACCATAAATTGTGTTCACTTTATAATAGTATATAGAAGATATTAAATAGAATATTTCTCAAATGATTAAAGCTTTGGCGGTTCTGGAGCTTTTTGACATCAGTTGGGATCGTACGGTGGGTCTCTCTCGCACGCTCGAGAGATGGATTCGAAGGAGAAGATAGAGCTGATACAGCTCACAATCCAGCAATTAATGGACGATCAAAGATACAATACATTGAGTTCTTCACCGGACGAGACCAGCTTCGCCGTCGACGGTGAAGATCATCACCGCCTCCTCCTCTGTAGATTGCTTTCTCAGGTTAGTAACAATCGCTATGTCGTTTTTTGTTGTAGGGTTAGGTTTTTTTTTGAAGTGATTATTGGTGTAATAATAAATGAGTAGTGATGTGTCTCTCACAGTTTGATCTGTATTGTTTGATTTTGTTTTGTTGTTGAAGAGATCGAAAACTGTGTTTGTGGAAAGTATAAAGTTTGTGTTTGGATTTCATGAATCGAATCTGAATTTTTCTTGTATGGAAAATGAGACTTTCTTATTGCATGTGTTTCAACTTAAGAGAGACATATACTTTGTTGAATTAAACTTGAAAAATGCACAATTCTATATGATCAACATATGTACCAATTTAGTTGAGATGAGGATTTTTCCTTGAGTTAATTTGATCTTTGGAATTATGCTTTGCAAACTGGTTTATGAATCTAAATCCTGTAACATTTTATAATTTGTTTTGTATGGTTTAGTGTTCCTTTTTTGCATCTCAAAATGCTTTTGTTCTTCAAATCAAGTCATTGACTCCGCTTCAAATCCACCTCTTCACTCCCCTTCATCACCACAGTCAATCCACTTCTTGCTTTCAAATCTACAACCAAAGTAACCGCCTTGCCTTGCCTTATGAAACCATTATCACTGCCCCCACAGCACATGTTGATAAATTGTGCAGCACCTAACCGTAAGCATTATCACCAGAGTTAGAGAGTCTACCGACATAATCATTGCCTCCACTATTGTTGAATTGAACCTACTTAATAGTATTAAGTTAATACCAGCACTTTGGGCTCCACAGGCACTACTTCTTCCACTTATCAAAACCAATGCTTCATCAGGAACACCTACCCACATTGTAGTGCCACCACGTACTGCTCTCACTACCTATGTGGCTTTGTCTCAAGCACCTGTAAGTAGTAGTAGTTCGTTCATTCATCCTTTTTACCCTCACATCTTTAGATCATATATTCATGGAAACTACCTCTCTCAAGAAAGGGGGAGGAGAGGGGTAAGGCTGCATACATCTTGATCTCTCCAGACCTTGCTTCAGCGGGAGTCTCATACGTTGGTTACCTTCTTTTATTTTTAGATTGTATATTAATAAATTTGAGTGACTTTGTATTATCCCTGAAAAACCAAAATTAACAGGCCTTTAGTGATTTGTATTAACAGTTAGAAACACTAAAAGGGGATGATGGCAAACTTCAGCAACCTGAACCATCAGCCGATCCAAAGGAAGTACCTTCCCCTGCAGTTGCTGACTCAAATAGTGAGACTGCCAAGGAGGCGGAGGGTGGTAGTGCTGACAATGGTGTCAGAAAAGAGATAGTCAAAGAGCTTCGGAATGTGAAGAGACAGAATTTTATCACTCATTGTCTTCTTTCGGCCATGATTGTCCTTACCATTACGTGGCAGATATCCGAGGTCTCTCTTGTTCTTAGCCTTAAAGATGGACTGAGCCACCCTTTCAAAACCTTTGGTGGTATGCTGGCAGGGATGCTAAAAGGCCCTGTTTTAGATGCTCAGAATGGGGAGAAAAAGTCATCTACAAACCAACCGCAGATTGAAGTCCCTGCAATCCCTCCCCTTAAAATTCCAGAGCTGCCCCTTCTGGATTTGCCATTGGGTCTGGATTGTGATAAGGACTGAGATATGTTTGAAACTATGCCCAAGAGTGTAGATTCATGGTTGTGCTGATGGCAAGTTTAATGCTTGGTTTTGTTTTGCAACAGTTGAAGCAACAGAGGGGGTATTGGAAAAACCTATCTCTTCTATCAATTTCGTTAATTTCCTTTGTTTATTAATGTTGTACTGTTGAAGGCTTGAAATAAAGGGATTTTTTTCTTCATTTTTATTTTTTATTTTTAAAAAAGAAGAAGCTACAAGCCAATATTTTCTTGACTTCATATTTGTACCACTTTTGCTCGAATTTGCTCTCTATGTGAGGACATATTTGAGAGAGCCATCAAGCAGAAGTTCTCAAAACAGACGAGGTTTTAAGGTGATAATTGTGGATAAAGAACCATGTAAAAGATTTACAGAAGGTATTATAAAAAAAAAAAAAAATACTCTGACAACTGTACTCTTAATGTAACCTACCTCCCAAGCATGTGTTGGGTGTACCTCCTTATTAGAGTGTAGAACTCAATTGGTTTATTAAAGAATTTTAATTTGATTTGGTTTAGGTATAATATATTTTAATATATTATATTTAATTTGTAGAGACTCAATTCAATTTGAATATAATTAAGGTTTTGATTAATAAGCTCATTAATCAGCAATATATATATATGTATATATACATTGTTTATGTTTTTGTCCCGTGGGAGAAAAAAAAAACGGCAACAGCTAGTTGGTTTCGATGAGATAGGACTTGGAAGATTTATGTGCCTGCTACAAATTTAATTCATAGTTCTCCAAAAGGTGTTGCGGCTACTACATGGGATTAGTGTTCAATCTCGGTGGGTGCCGTTTGGTTACAGAAGCTTGGAAGGTTTTGTTTGGGTGCATATTTTTGATTGCTTGAGTGAAGATTGATTTGGGTTATTATTTTATATCTTCTACAACTTTGATTTCGAAGATTTTTATTCATCTATTTGGTAAGGTCTTTCCTCTTGTTTATTTGTGATTATTTGGAATTCACTTAAGGGTGATTTTGTGAGACTATTTGTGTCTCGTTTGTAATCGTTTGGAAACATTTTGGTTGATAGTGGAATCGGATTTCGATCCTGTGGACGTACCTCACATTGAGGGAATCACGTAAAAATTCTTGTGTTGCTTTTGATTTAATTTTTTCGCATTAGTTTTTATTTCTATTGATTGATTTACTTGTGGGGAATCACATTTTTTCCCTAACAACTGGTATCAGAGCTTACGATTTATTGGGATTTATTTATTTGTGTAAATCAATAGAGGGGAATGTAGGTCGTATGTCTAGCTTCAATGGAAGCAATTGGGTAACTTGGAAAACTAAAATGGATGACCTATTATTTTGTAAAGATTTGTATAGGCCAATTGAGGGTGATAGTGGAAAACCTGATGATATGAAAGACAATGAATGGAAGAGGCTTAATCGAAAAGCCGTTGGTGTTATCCGTCAATGGATTGATGACAATGTGTTTCATCATGTTGCTACTGAAACTTCAGCACATGATTTATGGAAAAAATTAGAAGGTCTTTATGATAGGAAATCAGCCACAAATAAAGCTTTTCTGTTTCGTAAGTTGGATAATTTAAAATATAAAGAGGGCAGTTCTATTCCGGAACATCTGAATGAAATAAAGAGTATTGTTAATCAACTTGCTTCTATAAAAATTGTTTTTGATGATGAGTTGCAGGCTTTGATGCTACTTAGTTCTTTGCCCGAAAGTTGGGAAACTTTGGTTGTGATAGTTAGTAATTCGGCACTCGATGAAGTTGTCACAATGGGCCAAGTCACTAATAGCTTGTTAAATGAAGAAACTAGAAGAAAATCAGCCGGTTCCTCTCATTTAGAAGCATTTGTTGTGAGAGGTTGAAACAAAACAAGGGGGAGAAGTAAGACTCCTCATGGTCGTGATCAAAGTCGTGACAAATCAAAAGATGATTCTTTTTCAAAGAAAAAAATTGAGTGCTATTATTGCCATGAGAAAGGGCCCATGAAGCGGGAATGCCGAAAGCTCAAGAATAAGGAGAAAAGGCGTGACAAAAGTGTGGATAAGAAGCAAGAAGACACAACGGCAGTTACTACCAATGGTGATCTCATGGTCGTTTGTGAAGATGATTGTATCAATTTTGTGGGCCAAGAGAGCAATTGGGTGATTGATTCTGGTGCTTCTTTTCATGTGACTTCTCGAGTTGATTTCTTCACTACCTACACTGCAGTAGATTATGGTTCTGTTCGAATGGGTAATGAAGGTCTGTCCAAGATTATTGGCATGGGTGATGTTTGCTTGGAAACAAATTTGGGCTGCAAGTTATTGCTTAAAGATGTGAGGCATGTTCCCGACATTCACCTCAATTTGATCTCAATGCACTTGAAGATGATACTTCTACCGAATTGTGGCATAAGCGGCTTGGCCATATGAGTGAAAAAGGGGCTACAAGTTTTGTTCAAGAAAGAGCTTCTACCCGTTTTGAAAGGTACACATCTTAAAACTTGTGTTCATTGTTTGGCAAGTAAACAATACAGAGTTTCTTTTCATAAAAATGTTGCTTCTAGAAAAGAAAATATGTTTGAGTTGATTCATTCGGATGTTTGTGGTCCTTTGAAAGTTAGAACACATAGTGGTGCACTTTATTTTGTTACTTTCATTGATGATTATTCAAGGAAAGTTTGGGCTTTTCTACTAAAAACTAAAGAGCAAGTTCTAGAAGTATTTAAGCATTTTGAGGCCATGGTTGAAAGAGAAACAGGGCAGAAATTGAAGTGCATCCGATCAGACAATGATGGTGAATATATTGGGCCATTTGATGAGTATTGTCGCAGCCAAGGTATTCGGCACCAAAAGACAGTTAAGAAGACTCCTTAACAAAATGGCGTTGCCGAGAGGATGAACCGCACTATTGTGGAAAGAACAAGGTGTTTGCTTTCACAAGTTAAATTGCCAAGATTTTTTTAGGATGAGGCAATGAAGACAGCGGTTGACGTAATCAATTTGTCTCCTTCCTATCCTTTGAATGGTGATGTTCCAGAAAGAGTTTGGACCGGTAAAGATGTATCTTATGAGCACTTAAGAGTATTTGGTTGCCGAGCTTTTGTTCACATTTCAAAGGATGAGAGGTCCAAGCTTGAATTCGGATATAGATTGTGGGATCCGGTCGACAAGAAAGTCATTCGAAGCCGTGATGTTGTGTTTCTTGAAGATTAAACAATTGAAGACTTTGGCAAAGGTGATCAACCGGAGCCAAAAACTAACGATCTTATTGATATGGATCCATCTCCTTCATCTTCGGTGAATGATGAAAATGGGGGAGATGTGCAGCCACCTATTGAAAATATGGAGGATGATGTTAATCCGAATGAAGTTGAGCCAGAAATTGAGGAAGAGCATCTAACTCAAGAACCGCCACCACAACTTGAGTTGAGAAAATCTACAAGGGACCGGCAGCCTTCAAGAAAGTATTCTCCCAATGAATTTGTGTTGATTTCCGATTAAGGGGAGCATGAGAGCTACCAAGAAGCAATTGAGCATACAAAGAAAGATGATTGAAAAAAGGCAATGGAAGTGGAGATGAATTCCTTACTTGAAAATCACACTTATGATTTAGTGAAGTTGCCTAAGGGGAGGGAAATTCTGAAAAATAAGTGAGTTTTCAAATTAAAGAATGACGACAAGAATCTAAGGTACAAAACACGTCTTGTTGTGAAAGGCTTTGGGCAAAAGAAATGTATTGACTTTGATGAGATTTTCTCACCGGTTGTGAAGATAACTTTTATTTGGGTTATACTTGGCATGGCTACAAGTATGAACCTTGAAGTTGAGCAACTTGATGTGAAGACCACATTTCTTCATGGTATTCTTGAAAAAGAAATTTACATGGAGCAACCAGAAGGTTTTGTAGAGAAAGGTGAAAGAGAAATTTGTTTGCAAATTGAAGAAAAGTTTGTATGGCCTCAAGCAAGCCCCGCGACAATCGTACAAAAAATTTGACTCTTTCATGATGAATAATAGTTTTTCTAAAACCACTTCAGACCATTGTGTGTTTGTGAAAAATTTTCCAGATGGTAAATTTATTATTCTTTTGCTTTATGTTGATGACATGTGTAGACGTCCCCGAGCGCCCCGGGAGGATGAGTCCCGTTCTGTTCGTTTTGGGCTCACTACAGTTCGGACTCTCAAGTTGTCACGGTTCTTAATCTGAACCAAACAGTCCAAATCCGACAAATCGTTTTGGAAAACAGATTTTTAGAAAGAAGTGCCAAACATGGACTGCTTTGCCAGATACAGAGTCGCCACCTAAATATTTTTTTAATGGGGAAATTTAGGAAACCCTGACTCATTTGCCTAAGGCCACGTGTCCGTCATCACCAGAGTTGCCTCGGCTTAGGAACTTGGGTACGATTGGGGAAGGTCAGCTATGAGCACCCCCTCTCGCCCGATCCGAAGATCGGCCTCTACTAATCATGATATCCAATTTTGAAAACGTTATGTGTTTTTATTCCGGTTAATTAGCTAGAATTACTATGTGATGCACGCAGCAAAACAAGTATAGACTAGATCGCCTAATTCGGAACAAGGCATCGCATATCCGTTTGTTTGGAAAATGTTTTGAAATTTGCTACTCGTGAGCAAGCTAAAACACGGATTTTGATGAGTTGTTCCAACTCAAGCAATCCAACCTTCACCCACAAGCATTCAGGTAGTTCATATCACATAAGCATCTAGCCGCATAGTAAGCATGCTGTCATGTTAACATTCACACTCGTGCGAGATGCTAAAGCACAAAATACTTACAGTGTACTCCAAGCCAAAACAAAGAACTCGTTAGCAATCAATGTATGATCCAAGTCCATGTTAAGTGCCTAATGTAACGCATACCAAATGCAATCAGGATAGGCTCGGCTAATCCTAGGACGACATGTGAAATGCAACCATTTGATGCACGTATTCAAGTTAAATTTGAAATACTATGCAGTTAACATGATGTGCCGAGCCCGATGCATGCAATACCAATGAATGATGCACGCATGCATAGCATACGGATGCTAAATTAAATATGCCCTAGTATTAACCATCAAAGCAGGTAAGTAAAAAGGAGAAAGAAGTGGAGGTTGGATGACATGCACACACGCACCCACACTTATTACAAATTTGCCATCACTCGGAGGGACCGAAAGAATAATACAGATTTAACTAACCTACAAGCTAATTAAATATTA